CCCTGATGACGGAGGCAGTATGACCTCTGAAACGTTGGTTAACATCGACCACACTACACAGCGCAACAACCCAGAAGACAGAAATCTTCATACTCACCACTGCGAAAACCTCAAATCATATATTTTTAAATTTTTTGTACAGACGTGAAACCTTGTCTCCCGAATTAAGTTGTCTTAAAATAACACACACCCATTTCTTCATCGACTAGAGAAACGTGGAACTCTTCCTTGATCGGTAGATGAAGCAAACAGTTTTACAGTGTTTCCCTCTTCCATTACAACTGCTACGTATCTTACAAGGTCTCATCCACAGTGTCGACCCTGAATTTAATGCATCGGAGCAGATAAATAAAACCTATTTGAGATATCGATGTTAGTAATGAAAAGGAATATTTATTTAAGCTGTATATATATGTATATAGTTCTATTATATGATGTTTACAGTCAGTCATACTACGAGATAGACACCACCATTTTGGTTATCTCGTTCGAAAGTCCACAGACCTTGACTCACATTACTGTCTGCTGGACGAATCAATACCTGTAGCAACACGTACCGAAAGACGCACTCAGCCATGAACCTCGGTTCAATTCCTTCCTGCTGGCCACTGCTGTTAGGTTTTTGCTAGAAATAACTGTAGTTTGTAATATTCACAGCGCGTATGTTTAGACAGGAAGTAAATGGTAGACGAGAGGGGATCGTGTTCTGGATTCTGATAATTTGACAGACTGTTTTCAGTCACTCCTATTTCTGTTGAAACGATTGTGAAATTATGGAATACAAGTTATTACGTAATAATTCATTAAATATCATGACAAGGTTGTAATGTTTTTAAATAAAATCTATAAACGTAAGGAAAGTAATAAAATCTCAGTTGATTTTGAAAATAAACAACACATAAAATCAAGGTTGGAAGGATATTTGATAGTCAAATACAGGCGTACCTCGCAAATATTACGTTTTTTTATAAATCGAAGGTTTGTGGCAACCCTGCGTCGAGCAAGTTTACCGGCGCCATTTTTCAAACAGCATGTGCTCACTTCGTGTCTCTGTGTCACATTTTGGTAATTCTATTGCACAGTTAATAGACTACAGTATAGTGTAAACATAACTTTTATATGCACTGGGAAACCAAAAATTTCGTGTGACTCGCTTTATTGCGGCGGTCTGGAACCGAACCCGCAATATCTCCGAGGTATGCCTGTACGTGATAAGCTATATTCGGATCATTTCATTTCAAAGATCTCCTAAATTTTTATTTGTTCATTATTCTTTATCTCTTCGCATTTCACTTGGTGCTTGCTACCTTGTAACTGAAACAATCACTTAAAAACATTAGCATTAATTGTAATCGTTCTGCGACCTAGTAGAAATCTCGTAGCTAAAGTGAGGAAATCGCTTGAGATGTCCACACAACGTTCTCATCTTACAGACAAAAGTAAAAATATTCCTTGAACACAATGAATGTCCTTCGAGTCCAGATGTTAAAACTTTCACAAGAGTAATGGAAGTTTGAGGAAGGGGTGTGACCCGTTCTGGGCGGTGATCGTGAACGAAGAAGGTGCAAGCAGAGAGAGATACTGGGTCAAGGTCCCGACTGGGTGACGTCGACAAAACGCTTCATCGTGGCAGGCAGAGGGAGACGCTTGGCGCCAAAGAGAAGCTTTCTATCTCTCTTTGTTACAGTGAAAATGGACGACATGACATGACGTGACATGACATGGACTGGCCGTTAGTTCAGGCAGAATTCTTCTGCTGAAACAAGCCTGCAAAGCAAATTTTAAGAACCCACACAGAGGGCGACATATATCATTCAACGAACGACAATGTTAACCGACATAAAAGTCGTTTCTGATATCTACAGCTTGAAACAGTGTTTATTAACCCACTGTCTGTCTGTGTTTTGTGAGGTCTACATGCATTTTTTATCTGTGTCATTCTCTGTTACGAAAAATATTCGTCTGATATAAAAACACGAAATGATGTAAGAAAAGTTTTATTAATGACGTTAGCATTTGCCAATACCTACTGCTGTGCGCAAATATTTGATTTCTGTTGAAACGATTGTGAAATTATGGAATACAAGTTATTACGTAATAATTCATTAAATATCATGACAAGGTTGTAATGTTTTTAAATAAAATCTATAAACGTAAGGAAAGTAATAAAATCTCAGTTGATTTTGAAAATAAACAACACATAAAATCAAGGTTGGAAGGATATTTGATAGTCAAATACAGGCGTACCTCGCAAATATTACGTTTTTTTATAAATCGAAGGTTTGTGGCAACCCTGCGTCGAGCAAGTTTACCGGCGCCATTTTTCAAACAGCATGTGCTCACTTCGTGTCTCTGTGTCACATTTTGGTAATTCTATTGCACAGTTAATAGACTACAGTATAGTGTAAACATAACTTTTATATGCACTGGGAAACCAAAAATTTCGTGTGACTCGCTTTATTGCGGCGGTCTGGAACCGAACCCGCAATATCTCCGAGGTATGCCTGTACGTGATAAGCTATATTCGGATCATTTCATTTCAAAGATCTCCTAAATTTTTATTTGTTCATTATTCTTTATCTCTTCGCATTTCACTTGGTGCTTGCTACCTTGTAACTGAAACAATCACTTAAAAACATTAGCATTAATTGTAATCGTTCTGCGACCTAGTAGAAATCTCGTAGCTAAAGTGAGGAAATCGCTTGAGATGTCCACACAACGTTCTCATCTTACAGACAAAAGTAAAAATATTCCTTGAACACAATGAATGTCCTTCGAGTCCAGATGTTAAAACTTTCACAAGAGTAATGGAAGTTTGAGGAAGGGGTGTGACCCGTTCTGGGCGGTGATCGTGAACGAAGAAGGTGCAAGCAGAGAGAGATACTGGGTCAAGGTCCCGACTGGGTGACGTCGACAAAACGCTTCATCGTGGCAGGCAGAGGGAGACGCTTGGCGCCAAAGAGAAGCTTTCTATCTCTCTTTGTTACAGTGAAAATGGACGACATGACATGACGTGACATGACATGGACTGGCCGTTAGTTCAGGCAGAATTCTTCTGCTGAAACAAGCCTGCAAAGCAAATTTTAAGAACCCACACAGAGGGCGACATATATCATTCAACGAACGACAATGTTAACCGACATAAAAGTCGTTTCTGATATCTACAGCTTGAAACAGTGTTTATTAACCCACTGTCTGTCTGTGTTTTGTGAGGTCTACATGCATTTTTTATCTGTGTCATTCTCTGTTACGAAAAATATTCGTCTGATATAAAAACACGAAATGATGTAAGAAAAGTTTTATTAATGACGTTAGCATTTGCCAATACCTACTGCTGTGCGCAAATATTTGGCTGTAATATAAAAGTCAAAACAATAACAAAAAGTTGACAGTGGAACCACGGTTCCGGAGAATCTGACGTAAATACGTCTCTGTAATGTAATGGAATGTAATGTAATGTAATAATTCTTATATAAGATAAGTACTTGTGATATTCAAAAACGTTTTTACCAGCACAAAATTATCTACTCTACGACGCACTTGTACAAGCGATTCACAGCACAGCTCTTTCCGCAATAATGAAAGCGGATTGTTGACGGCAGTAATGTAACACAACAATGCCGCGTAAACAGATGACGTAACAATTAGTTTCTTGGGTAAAAGAGTAAAGCATTGGTATACGAGGTGCGATCGGAAAGTTTCTAGACTGCGCCTATAAAAACCCGTACACTTATCTCAGGTATTAAATTCATCCATCACCCTCGAAGTAGTTCCCCCGGGAGTGAACACAACGATCCCAGCGCCACTGCTAAGCCTGGAAGCATCCCTGGAAATCTTTCTTTGTCAGCCTGTCAAGCACCATCTGCGATTCTGCCTGAATCTCTTCTATCGTCTCAAATCTCCTTCCCTTGAGCTGAATTTTCATCTTTGGGAAGAGGAAGAAGTCACACGGAGCTTAAAAAGGAAGTTGGGGTCGGTTCTTGCAAGATCTTTCAGCTCCTGACAAACGAGAAGTCAAGGCGATTCTGCTTCTGGTCCTCAGACAGGAGCCTTGCGTCGCATGTGGAGTTCTTCCTTTAGAATCAGCTGACAGGTCCCATAGCCTATCCCAACAATGTCGCACAAGTCGTTGATAGTACGACGTCGATCTTCGTAACATTTTCGGGCGTTGTGCTCGAAGATGGTCGTCCAGAACGCTCGTCATCATCGACAGAGGTTCGGCCATTTTTAAAACGTGAATGCCACACAAAAGTTGGTGCACGACCCATTGCGGACTCCCCAAATGCTTGCTTTAGCATTTCACAGGTTTCCGTAGCCGTTTTGGCGAGTCTTTGGCAAAATTTGATGCACACGCCATTCCGAAAGCGCAGGAGGGTCGGTGTAATGCACTACCAAAACGCCCGTAACTAAGAAACAAATGCTAATTCGATGATGCCGGCTGGCACACCGATTCA